CAAACAGATCGGACAAGCGCTGACTGAGGACTTCACCGCCGTCTTTGAACAGTGCGGGTGGAAGGTCATCCGGACCGGGAGCTCGGTGGCGCTTGAGAGAATATATGCAGTCGTAAACCTCCGAGGCCGTAGAAAGAAAGAAAGCGTTCAGCTGTAGAACCCTTCCGGTGCCTAGCTGCCATGCCACTCGAAGGAAGCACGAGGGCTAGAATACTGCCAGGTTGCCCAAGCCTAGACAGGGGAAGTCGAGTGGCGGAGGTCGGATTCGAACCACGAACCTTCCGGTCAGTAAATTCGCGCTCTAACCACTTGGGCCATCTCGCCCCCTCCGAGGCCGCAGGTGGTTCCACGTTCACCGTCCAGGGTTCTACTTCACCTGTGGGCTCTAGATGAGTGCCGGATGGTGGCCACGACAGTTGTTGTTCGAAGTATTCAGCCCACCGGTCGAGGCGTTCTTCTTTGTTCGAGATGGTCGTTCCATTCTGATGCTTGATGGTTTCGCTCACAGGGGGTTTCTGGGGACCGGTCGCACGGATTAACTGAGATAATCTTCGGGTATTACCGGCTTTCTGGGCCTCTTCCATTTATTTGCTTTCTGTGTAGATTTAAGTAATGCCACTGTTCGGTCTGAGCAACGACGAAAAAATCGTACACTCCACTTCTAGGATTGATTGGCCTCTATTACGAGGCGAATGCTGAATTTGGTCTTCAAGATATCTTTTCTAATTACAAGTTGTCAGTTCACAAGTATGTTGGCCTTAGTCCTTGTCGCCTGCCTAACTTGTTCCTGCACAAAAACGCATTCATTGGCCGATCCATCGAATTGTGTTTCACGGTTTTCCGAGATGCTACAGTAGGTTAGCGCAGTTCAAATTTCCACTAAAGCCCTTTGGCTTACCAGTCAATCTTCTGGTCAACTGGCCTACGTTCTGGACGGCATCCACAAAAGCGCTGCCCCGAATATTTTTAAACAACTTATAGCTGTATCAGATTATTAGGTCATTACTCGGGTAGAGTTAAAGATGATGGTTTTTACCACAGAAAGGAAGACTAATGGGCCTCGGGGTTACGGTCCCCTGTAGAAACATATATAGGTGAATGACAATATCACAAAATCAAAGCACGAACGACAAGTCTTCTCCACCGGTCCGCCGATGCCCGAACCTAGAGGGTTGGATCGATGACATACATATGGTATCACCCAGAACGAAAAACTGAGTTATAAAAGCCAAAAGAGTAGGTATTTAACGATTCTTCATTGAAACTTTGTTGACTAGTCTTAATCAGAAGAAAAGAAAGCATTAGGATTAGCTTGTTAACTAGGAGGAGTCCAAGCCGGTTTTATCGTTTCGATTGCGATTTTTCAGCGATGCACGCTGTTTATGCGGCCTGATGGACTCGACCCACTAGTTTCTTAAATGGTCTAACAGAGGACCAACAAAGTAGTATTTTGGATATCCGAGAAACCAGGTTTTTGTTTGCTCACCAAACCAGACTTAGTCCGGACAAAATGAATCACGTATATTTTGTGCTTTATGTTGGCTACTGCCCTCATGCTTCGCCCATAATCAGGAATGAGGAACAAACATGAATTGCGGTTAGAAAATAAATTTTAACATAGGACGCTCTAGTAGGAACTACATCTGATATGTTGCTTTACTACTGTCTGTTACAGATTCGCTGGCTACTGCAAAAAACACTGAGAAGGTTTCACCAGGATATTGTCAGTGTTGCTGCCTGGATTAAACACAGCAGAATAAGTCTAACGATTCAAGCTGGCAAAAGAAAGGTAACAAACGAGGTCTTACAAAAACTAGAAGAACTACATGAACCACCGTTTGGCGATGAACAAACGGTAACGGCACAACTGTTGTCTAAGATCACACTCGATCGGATTGTCGAGTTTGCAATTCGAGATTTGAACAGAAGACGAGAGATTAGATGCAAGTTGCAAGCTGAATATGAACGATGGCGAAAGGAAGTTACTGAAGCCGAAGAAGAAGCTCGTGAAGCCGAACTGGCTGCTGTTGAGGCTCAAGAAGAAGTTCAGGAGATGAGAGAGCATTTGGCAGAACTGAGCGACGAAGAGCGAAAAGCACAGGCTATGCCACACTTGAAAGCAGCTCGGCGGCGCTCACGACGGCTGTACCTACGTGCAGCTGACCTCCGCCAGCAGTACAATAACCGGCTATCTGAGTTCATAAGTTTCCGGGATGCAGAGCTCTTGGAAGACGAGCGGGCGCTATATGGCTTAAGTGCAGAGGATCGAAGGGCGATTATCAATGCAGCGCCGGAACTACGAGCCTACTTGAGACTACCAAGGTATCACAGCCCAGCCTTCTTCTTCCTGTATTCCAGCAGGGAGTATGAGTTGAGACGGCGAGAAACAAAGTATCCTGCTCCACAGAAAACTATAAGCTATTGAGAATAGTCAATCGAATTTTCGGGGATAGGTCAAAACACTTTTGAATGTTGTTTTTTCAGATCATCTTCGCGTTTCAATAAGTTATTTTCAGAAAACGACGTGGTTTTCTTGATCTTCATAGGATTGATAAGCTGGAATACAGACGCTACACGTGTGTCGTTCATCAGTATCACCCTTTAGGTGCCTAGCAGCCATGCCACCCGAAGAAAGCACGAGGGCTGAGATGCTGCCATGCAGCTAAAGCCTAAACAAGTGCAGTCGAGATGCAGAGACTAAGTTTGAGCCACGGACCTTCCGGCTAGTAAGTTCGCACCTTAGCCACTTTACCATCTCGGCTCATTATAGATCTGGTCGTTGGTTCATCCGCTGAGCTGGGCAATTTGATTGCAGACGTTTCATCATCAATCGAGGTGGCGTCATCAGCGCGTTTTTAGGGAGCGTGGTGGAGCGTAGGGATGGGTTGGTGGTGTGTTGGATTGCTGATATCACCGTGGTGGACAGTCCTTAGTTGGCTGCTACGTGGACGCAACGCAGCTACTGTAGTTAACCATTAGGTAGTGACTCATGATTTTTGGACATTAGCTGGTGCTTGCAGGGATAAGGCTGTTAAAACATGCATGTTTTGTATTTTTTTAAACCGTGTTTACAACTGATATTTCGGTTGGCAAAAGTTCCCTAGCGGACAGACCATGGTGGAGCAATGGACAATGAACATTGATACTGCTAGGTGGAAAGTAGTGCTTTCTTCGGGCCTCTCACACCAAAGTCCTTTCGTGTGGTTGAAGATCCGAAGGGATATATCATCGAACCGATTTTAAGGATGAGTAGTTGATCGTCCACTAACCGAACTGCCTAGTTCCAGGAGTCCATCCCCACACTATTGTTCAGAAGCGCTCAATACATCCATCTTGGTAAATGAAGTCACCTGGCTTTTTACCGGCCTCAGTAAGAACAAGGAATATCCCGCAATAATTCCCCACCCTTTTGATTTATTTCCAGTTTTTACTAAGCACTTCCATGGTTGGTCGGTTGAGCAGGGATCACCAGTAGTGTTTCGTTGCTTTCTAAGACGATGGAAATGATTTACGAAATGCCTATAATCCTGTCGTGCTGAGGAATATGTACATAACCGTGTGAATGTCTTTTGACTGAGCAGGCCAAAAGTGGAACAGATAGCAGACAGACCCAGATACAGGCTTTGATGGTCATCTTACCATAACACCCTCAGACGAGTTGCCCGTGGGAGGATATACGTACGTGTAACACTGAAAATGATAACTAGTTGTCAGTCAACATCCTGGCCGTGGGTTATTGTTGCAATGCCTTGACTTGCCCCAGCAGACAAGGTATCCTACACTATGCCTTGAACACACAACAGCCACATAGATTTAGTGCGTTGGTTCAGGGGTTACTTCAAGTGGTTCCCCTATCTGAATATACGCCATGCACTCATATGCACTAGAAGTGTTCCAGTGTTTCATAGTTAACAACCAGGTATGACTAGAACGGATTGATGTGACAAAGTCTGCACCATCAAAAGGTAGAGACATGGTGTAGTGTAAGAATGTGACGAAACCAGAACAAGCACCTGTGATTGCCGGTCATGTGTTTACCGCACTACGCAGCATGTAAACAGTGTCTTTAACGGATGGAACCGTACACAGCGAAGAAATCCACCAAACTGTCCGAGTCTTGAGAAAACACCCGTTTTCGTCAATAATCCTGACCACTGAGATTCGCCCTGAAATTTACGTCTCTGTCAAAATGCGGTGCCTGTAGATTTGGAAAAAATGCCGGTGAGTTATATAGCCAGTCAATACGGCAGCTCGAGGCTTTCATGCGCTAGTTAGACAGTCAAAGAATTCGATTAGAAAAGACTAATTTTGGTCAGAGTGTCATCTTTGAGACAATGCATAAAATGGTTCAGGAAAGTTGGCTTTTGACGTCATACTTCGTTTTGAATATTGGTAAAACTGCGTTCCAAACGGGGCCAGCAAATGCATGAATATGCCCAAGGTCCTCAGATCGGAGGGCCTGGTCTCACAACTACAAATACTACCTCCTTACAACTGCCTTTATGCACGACCCATCAGTTTTAGGGAAGTCCACTTATAGTATGAGAAGAGACGCAAGTTGGCGAACGCTGCAACCGTATCCACGAACTAACTTACTGTTTCATTACAATCACGACTTTTGCAGATAACAAGATTTGTGAACCGATTAACAAACCATTTCATTCTTAAGTTTTAGAGTTGCACCACAAGATGGGAAGTCCTGAAGTGGTATTCTGCACTCTGACAATATAGAAGCATGACAAAACGGGGGATCACCTCCGATATTCTGCTTAAATTATTTTACGTAGTCAAATAACCGTAAGCAAAACGACGCATACATAGACCAGGTCGATCAATATCTCTCTTGACGTGATTTCGATATATGGGTCCGTTGTCCCATACCAACGTCGATAACAAAAATAAACAAGAAACACGGGGTTAACCTGACGAACTCAATAGTTGTGACGTTTTTGGACACTGTGCACCCTAACTCGACCGGAACTATGAAAATATATTGCATGAAGAGCGTTTACGAAATCCAAGGGCATCCCTTTTCGGCCGAAAACATTCAGAAGAACCAGTCTATCCACAAATTTACGGAAACCTGCGACTGTTGATCAGCGGCGCACGTACCATTGCTCGGGTGCTTGACACAATGTAAGGATATGGTCAGTTTAGCCTCTACAAGGTCGAAATCGAGCTCGCGGACTTGCATCTCGCGTACCTAAGATAAAAGGGAAGCCAGCAGCCATGTGACAACAGACGCATGACTTATAGGTTTGTGGTTGGAACAGTCGGTTCGGATACATCTTTTGAACAAAAACGACGGTTGCCCCCAATTTTTTGGAGCATGCTGTTTTGCCCAGATGCTTACGAACCAACCAGTCACGGTGAAACACAATGATTCCCCTCCGTCTTTGAATGACGCTTGGGGAAGCCCGTCTGGCACCCGATGGCACTTCAAGGAAGAAAATCAAGTATATCAGTACTTCAGAAACTGAGAGGAAGCTCAAACTTACAGACCACGATTCAGAATATGCGCGTCGAATGAAAGACACGTACAGGGGCGAAGAGCCAACCATACTGTTGTTGAAAACATTTCGTCTAGCGCTATGGACGCCGGGCTTTATTGTATAAGTTTCTAATATAACTTAAGAAAGGCCTTTTAGGTTATTTTGCGGATTCGCTGGAACAATTTTTAAGCATTACCGATCTCACTGGCTTCTTCCATCTTTTGGTTACACTAAGCCCCTCTGCCCACAAAGAGGCTACGTTAGATCTGTCGCCTAGCCTAATACTAATCTGAATACGAAAGGGCAGAGCCCCCCTGCACCAACGAGTGATGGTGAGCGTCCTTCAAACCAGCGGTCTCCGTACGCGTGACCGGGGACACAAGCAGAGTTCCCCTGTGTCACGTGTATTAGTCGTTATCTCACCAGAACTACGGTCAATTTCCTCTGGCGTTGCACATTAGGCGCTGGTATGTCTCACTAAACTGTGCTAAGTGGAGAACCTGTTTCTGGATTTTACCGGAAACACTAATTGAAAATCCGCAACAAACCAAGATGTAATGAGCGAACCCAGGTATTCCAAAATGTTTGCTATTCAAGGAGTGGACCGCGCCGTCGTCAGCTGATAGCGACACGGTCAGTTTGATTCCAAGGCTGCCCAGTAGTATTCCAGATGGCTCAGCAGTGGACAGTGAAATGCAGTACTGCTGGAAAGGGAATGGTAATCAGTAAAAATGTTCAGGACTATCATCGGGTTTTTGTGTCCAGACCAAGCACACTAACAAGGTGAGCTTCTGATGAACTGCGGCGTCCTACCTATGCGCTGAAAGGTCCTTCCCTTATGTCCAAATTCCACTATTTCAAGATGGATAAGATGGTGGTGGGCTCTTGACGGGTGTTTCCCGCTGAAGCAGAGCTACAGTTCGTGGGCGCACGACAGAGGGGTCATTTCTAGGGGTGTGTTTATCTAATTCGGACAGCATAGAGTTGGCTTGCGAACAGAGGGATACACCAACACCGATGCAGGCCACAGCAGCAGGTGAAGTTCGTAGTCGGTAGCGTAAGCCCAACAATCTGATCTTAATCTTGTATTCGAATGTCAGAGTTAAAACAGATGGCGATCGATGAAGTGCGCGCAAGAGTAGCCCGACGACCGATCTGTCTAGAAGTTTGTTCATTAATGATTGTAATGAAAACAGGAAAATGAAGAGAAGAGAGAATTGGTCATCGGCATATTGAGAGAAGCGCATACAATTCTCCGTCGCGACCACAATACCCGTTGTCTCAGACAAAATGATGTTATAATGGTCGAAACGATTTATTGAGTAGATGGGAACGGAATAAGGCATACGGTAAAGTCCGAAGAACATGATATGAAAGATATTGTGGCGAAAAATAATATGGGATAACATGCGACACAGAATGGTTGACGGCTGGACCGTATTATATCACGAAAATATTCCGGAACTGATGATCCGCTGTGTTTGTGGAATCGGGTACGATGAATTTGCAGTCTCAACAACGTTTCTTGGTCGTCGGTCCTCAGACCTGGAGGCCATTTGCAACACGGCAATCAGTCAGTTCCCGTAGATTGCAAGTAAATTGAAAATCTGCAAAGGACAGGAGACCATGAAAATGAATTTATCCAAACAGTACATCTGAAAGGCAACGCTATGCCCACACAATAGCAGCAACATGCTAGTATACCGCACGTTTCCAAACTGGGAAAATGCGACTTGAAAAGCAATGTGAGTAGGGTGTAAGACCCATTGCCCTGCTTTAGCCGCTGAACGGGGGAGGTAATAGGACCAGTCGCAACGCGCGGCAAGATCACACGAATGAGTTTTGCCGGCAGAATAAAGCACAAACAATAGAAACATCTGAAAACTTAAGTCAAAGTAAAGTAGAGATTTGCATTTTGATCGAGATGGTACTCACGGGTGATGCAGTACGACAATAAACTCCCACGTGCAACGGGTGACGCCACATTTGCAACCAGCCGAATGCCCTATTCCAGACGTAAACCCGAGGG